CCCCCCCCCGCTAGCAAAAGCCCCAGGCTATTGTTGCCGTCAGATTTCTCTGGGCAGCTGGCAGGAAACTCAGGCAAAGAGTGTCACCAGTCTCGTGGATGCGAGTTAGGACTGATACTAGCAAAGATAGCATCTTACTGTCATTTGTAGATTGGGTATCTTTATGTAGCAATGTCCAATTTATTCGTAAATTTTTTAACGTATCAGACGGCTGGTTGACAGAATTACTGGTGATCTTTGTAGATGAAAGGCTGTCACTGCGAGACGCCCCTACTCTCAACCGGGCGGGAGATGTCCATTTCAAGGTGCGAGTCTCTGTCCTTTGGGTCTACATTACACACGAAGTTTCAAACGGGCACACATTTCCTGATTTGGCAAGGTCCCAACTCTTCCATATATCTTCTTTGTGCAAAAATTGCTTGAAGGCAAATCATTTTGTGCTCCTCCAAGCCTCATCCTCCAACCACTAGACCGAAACAGTCTTTCCTAGAATCGCACAACGCAGACACATGATTCTAATCCGCGAAAGATTATATTGTGGAGCAGAATATTAGGTCTTTAAAGACTATAGATGGACGACGAATCTGCGACTCGAATATGGGCCAGGTTGAAGGTCTGCTTGGGATGGTCGAGGCCCACGGCTCTGCTTGGGCGGGGTGCTGACATTGAAACCCAACATAAGAACAATCCGTCGATTTCACGAAAGATACGCTTTGCAGGTTTGTAAAAAGAATTGTGCTAAGCCAGGATGTAGATCAGAGTTTCTCCCCATGTGGAGGCATCTTGATGTATGAATAGATCGCCAGCTATTGCCAGAGCCAAATCAAGGCTGGGGCGGCCACAAAGCCAATGGGATTCACGGCAGTGGCTGAATAAGGGCCATGGCGATAGAGTACATAGGCGCCAAAGCGTGCTCTTTTCATTGCTTTCAGCCGATGAAACTGCTTCTTTGGCCGTTATGAGGAGTTGCAAACCAGTCGTGCACCGCTTCGACGACCGACCTGGCTGCTTAGTAGGTGGTCACTGTGTAAGGCATGGATTTCCACAAAGCGCCCCCAATACGCAAACTTGGCTGATCTTGATCCAAACCAAAGAATGCGACGCCTTTGACGATGCTGAAAGACACACGGAGTGCCGTCGCTCTTCATGTTGGGCCATGGAGCCATGCCTACGAGGCCCTGTCCACAGTTGGTTTGAGATTTAAGAGCCAGAAGCCTCGCCAGTGATGGCAAGTATCCAGCTGCCTGCTGTCCATTGCCTTTCTGGACACATATTTGCCTTGAGATCCATCTCCCGACCTTTCTTGTTATCTTGAATTGCCACGTCACCTTGACGTATTGTGAAGTATCACCTCCAGCCAGCAACTCACCAAGTGTGGTTCTTGTGTCAGTCTCAGTATTAGACAGGAGGAGGGGCAGCACTGAAACGACCTCCTCAGATCACGTGTACCTAAGTAGCAGCCAGTGACGGAGCTGTCCAATTAGTGGCTCCGTTTCAGCGAGGGTCCCGAGGTTTTGCCTTCCCCCACCTTAACTAAGAGCAACACACACACACCCGCACCGTCTCAGCCCCAGCCGCCCAGCCTCACGCACCGCACCACACTACACTGCTGCCACACTCCAGTTCAATCCGACCACCCCGACTCTTTTGATTACCCCGAACACCTCCGTCCGTGTCGCCGTCGTTTTATCTCGACCTCCGGTATCACAAAACGGTGGCCGCCCCCGGGCATCGCATCTGCTCTTGGCTTGACTCAACCCGCTTCTGCGACAAGCGCTTCCTTCCGGCTGGCCTGCGTCTCGGCGGAGCCTCCCGGTGATCACTGCCGCTATCACAGCCACCCATCATCCTGTCCGACTCCCGAGTTCCTCCTCGCCGACGCCGAAGTGACGCCGGTGCTCCGTCTGCGCCGACGAAGCTCCCCGAGGAAGATCTCCAGCTTCGGCCGTAGGAGGCAGAGTGTTCTTGACGCTCGCCAGCTGTCTCCCCGCCATCTGATGCCGCCGCTCTACTCAACATAGCAGCTCCCTCTTCGGACTACAGGTGCATCGCTCATCGTCCCATCACTAACATCGCCATGTCTGACGACGAGTTCGCCTCGCCAGATGTGTCGCGCGCACACCATGACCCCAACCACACCCCAAACAGTCGCAAGGGACCCCGCTTCAGCTGGACACCGGCATACGAGGCCACCTTTTTCCGCTCTCTGTGTGAATCCGTTCAGCTCGGGCTCAAGGACAACCACAGCTTCAAGCAGGAGGCCTGGGAGCGGGCCGCTCAGGCACTCCAGGAACGCCACGGGGCATACCCAAACAAGGGTCATCTGATCAACAAGAGCGACAATGCCCGCAAGAAGTTCCGCCTGTGGCGCGGACTCAGAGAAGATCCCGAGTTCCTCTATAACCCCGCAACAAGAATCGTCACTGCAAGTGAGGAGGCATGGAGGGCGCATATCGAGGTAAGTTGCTTTCGTGCCAGATTCATCTGTGACTACCTGCTCGAGTGCCCCCTGTCTTCTGTATTTGTATGCGCTCTGCTATAAACGCCCAACCCACCATCAAGATCGTCAAGATGTTGGAGGCTGGGACGTGTTTAAAGCGCTGATGT